GTCCTCAGGGCTTCTCTCAGTCATTTCATCTCCACCCCCCTGCCCCCTCCCAGCCCCAGGACCCTGGCACAACCCCCATCCCCAGGCTGCTAACCGACCCTCTGCCCTGAACCAGGTACGAGCTGCGGGTCATCGTGTGGAACACAGATGAAGTGGTCTTGGAGGATGACGACTTCTTCACTGGGGAGAAGTCCAGTGACATTTTTGTGAGGGGGTGGGTGAGCAGTCCCTTTGCGAGAGGGGTTGACCTGGGTGAGCTTCCCTTCCTGGGGGCCGGAGAGGAGGCAGAAATGAAAGGGTGGGGAAGCCCCACTGGGCAAAGCTGCAGGTATGGAAGTGTGATCCCCGCAGGTGGTTGAAGGGCCAGCAAGAGGACAAGCAGGACACGGATGTCCACTATCATTCCCTCACCGGTGAGGGAAACTTCAACTGGCGCTACCTGTTCCCCTTCGACTACTTGGCAGCTGAGGAAAAGATTGTCATCTCCAAGAAGGAGTCCATGTTTTCCTGGGATGAGACCGAATACAAGATCCCCGCACGGCTCACCCTGCAGATCTGGGATGCCGACCACTTCTCCGCTGATGACTTTCTGGGTGCAGAGCAGGGCAGGGGCAGGGGCGGGGGTCCTAGGATCCAGAACTGAGAAGGGGCAGGGGCAGGGGAGATAGGGACAAGGAGAGCCCACCCTGGGTGGGGGGGTATCAGTCCTACCAGTCTGTCAGAGCCAAGGGTATCAGGGTCCCTGTCCCCACAAGGACCCACCTAACCATGCCCTGGCAGATGTCCTGTGTCCCAACAGGGCTGACAAGGCATTTTGGGCACATGAAGGAGTGGCAGTCAGTGCTGATGGGGGAATCAGAGAGCTTCCCTAAAGGAATCGGGAAACTTCCCTGGGCCCCAGGTTGCTCCTCTGTAGAGCAAATTTCCCCCTAAAACTCTAACCTGCACCTGCAAGATGGTGGGATCAGCAGGACTTTGACAGGTGAATGTGTGGCAGGGGTCAGGGGTCTGGAAGACCCCAGGAGAGACCCTTTGGGCTGATGGAGGGGCCTGAGTAAAGCACTGGAGGTGGGGTTGTCCAAAGAGCCCACAAGAGTTACCCCATTTGAGACCAAGGAGATGGGAGTGAGACAGGAGGGTAAGATGCAGATTCGGGGCAGTCTTACTCAGCAACCAAGGGGCCAGGAGGCCAGAACCACCCCCAACCCCCACCCCAGCCAGCCACATTCACCCAGAGCTGACTCAGATTGTCACAGGGGCCATCGAGCTGGACCTGAACCGGTTCCCGCGAGGCGCAAAGACAGCCAAGCAGTGCTCCATGGAGATGGCCACTGGAGAGGTGGACGTGCCCTTGGTTTCCATCTTCAAGCAGAAGCGTGTCAAAGGCTGGTGGCCCCTCCTGGCCCGCAATGAGAACGACGAGTTTGAGCTCACGGTGGGCATCACCTCCTGCTGGGGTGGCGGGCAAGACCGGGCCCAGCAGGGAGGCTGAGGACCCAAACCGGGCCCAGACACGGGGACGTTTCCATCTTTCTCTGCAGGGCAAGGTGGAGGCTGAGTTGCATTTACTGACGGCGGAGGAGGCAGAGAAGAACCCAGTGGGCCTGGCCCGCAATGAACCTGACCCACTGGAGAAACCCAAGTGAGCGTCCTGCCTGCCCGGCCCCCACCACGCTGGTTCTTGGAGCACTGGAGCAGGCAGGAGAGACCAGAATTTTCTGGGCTTCTTGCCCCCAGTCCCCAGACACCCTCTCTGTGTCTTCCTGGGCCACAGCCTCATTGCAGGGGAGCCTCCTACATCCCCTCCACTGCCCTTCCATCCCACCTCCTCCCTCTGAACCAGGGGAGGGGCTGTGAGCTCAGAGACATAGAACCTCTCCCAGGAAAGGCCCCATTTAGCAGAGAGAAACGCTCTTCCTAGACTTTGCCAAAGCAGGGAGCTCCAGCGGTGATATTTGGGGCCCCAGCCTGCCTTGATGGCCAGGGAGGTGCCCAGAGCTCCACACACCCAGTCCGGGACGGCCCCCCTCTTGGCCGGGCCCCTTGCCACACTAACCCCTCCTCCTCCCTGTCCTTTCTCGGCACTCGCACTGTTCTTCCCAATGCTCCAGCCGGCCCGACACGAGCTTCATCTGGTTCCTGAACCCTCTCAAGTCTGCCCGCTACTTCCTGTGGCACACGTATCGTTGGCTGCTCCTCAAACTGCTGCTTCTCCTGCTGCTGTTCCTCCTCCTTGCCCTGTTTCTCTACTCTGTGCCTGGCTACCTGGTCAAGAAGATCCTGGGGGCCTGAGCCCAGTGGCCTCCTGGGTCTGATATTTCTCCCTTCTCCCTCCAGACCAAGGACTGGGCAGCATATGGAACACCCTTGCACACACATATGCGCACACACACATCCACAAGCATGCACGGGTGTGCTTATGTGCACACACAAAGTGCACATACATACACACACGCACAAACATACACAGCAACTTTCAAGCTTTCAAGACAGATTTAACAGTCTTGCCGAATTAGAAATGACTATTTTACATAATTACATATTAGGCCAGAGAGGTGAAGTAGTTCACCCAAGGTCACCCAGCAGATTAGGAAGAGCAGGAACGAGAGCTGAGGTTCCTGAACTGCCAGCTCAGTGTTCATGCTCCACCACCTCTGCTCCCAGCAGCATTCCTCACAGACACTGCCCCAATTTCATTGGCAGAAAGTTGACAAACAGACAGGGAAAGGGAAAAGGGCTTGGCTAGGGTTAGCCAGCAAGTCTGGAAATAGTTCCTACCAGTGTGGGGCCTCCCAGTCCAGAGCTGCTTTCTGCCCTGCAGAATAAGTCCCATTCAACTCACACATTCAATAGCCACTGTTTCCTGAGCACCCATCTCACGTGCTCAGAGCTCCCCAGGCACTGTCTCACGTCACTCTTGCACCAACCCGGGAGGTAGGTACTACTACTAACCCCATTTTACACATGAAGAGACTGAGGCCCGTGGGGTGCCTGACCACTGTCACGGCCAGCATTGGAAACCAGGTGCTCTGCACCAAGACCCCTGCTCTGTGGCCCCACCAGCACTGAACTCGGCTCGGGGCAGGTGCATCCATGTGCTCTGGGAGCCAATCGCTTGAAGAAGCATTTTCAAGCCTTTCATTTGATATCTTCACATTGTATGAGACGTACTGTTTGCATAACATAAACAACAGAGAGGAAAGCTGGACAGAGGTCTGTGGGGACAGAGGTATATATCCATCAGAAAGGAAGGGGTTGAGAATCACGGATCTCACTGCAGACGCAGGACAGCACATAGAATGAACTAACCAAGGAGCTCGCTAGAACCATCTGCAATGCCATGGCTGCCCGTCACTGCTGGGGCAGTTAATGGCTGGATGGCTGCCCCACTGCCAAAAATGCCATCCAAAATGACCCCCTTCCAAAAACGCCCCCCTGCCAAAAATGGCCTTAGGAGTAGACTGGGCACCAGAGCTCCTGCAGAGAGGACAGGGTTTCATAAGCAGCAAATCTGATGCTTAGAAATGGGCTCAAACCCTGACTCCAGCACTCACTGTCTTAGGGGCTGGGGTCATGTCAGGGCCTCTTGGGGTCCAGAAGGACCTATGGATGGGGTGCTTGGGAGGTGGCTCCTGCCCACTGCCTGACCGGCTCCTCCCTCCGCTCCCTAGCCGGCCCGACACGGCCTTCGTCTGGTTCCTCAACCCTCTCAAGTCCATCAAGTACCTCATCTGCACCCGGTACAAGTGGCTCATCATCAAGATCGTGCTGGCGCTGCTGGGGCTGCTCATGCTGGCCCTCTTCCTCTACAGCCTCCCGGGCTACATGGTCAAGAAGCTCCTGGGGGCGTGAAGGCCGCTGCTTCCACCAGCGCTGCTCCAGCTCTGCTGCGTTTGCCCCTCCTGTGGCTTGGACTCTTTCCTGTTTTCCAGGGGGGCCTGAGGAGCCCAACATCCACCCTTCATGCCTCGGGCCCCGGGAGCCTGCCTCCTGCCTCCTGGCCACCTGTCCTCCCTGCACTAGAGAGCTGTTTGCCCGCTCTGCCCCTCTGATTGCTGTCTGTGGACTGGGAAGGGGTGGGGACCTGGAGAGGGTCCCTTCTCGGTCCACCTGGCTGAGTCATCACCCTTCTTCAGGCGCTGGCTCTGGAGGAAGCCTCCTCAGACCCTCCACTGGGCCTTCCCAGTCAGGATTAAAGTTTTAATGAAATTAACCAAGATCACAGGCCAGTACCCAGGGCCTTCAAAAGAATGAATGAGGAAAACGCACCCCACCCTGTCCTCACAGACAGCATCAGCCTGCAGATCCTGCCCAAAAGTCTGGGAGGCTCCCTGTGCTCAAAAGCCCAGGCGAGGAGCAGTGAGATGCAGCAGAGCAAGCCCCTGTCCTCTCCTGCCCCTGCCAGCCCTGCCCTTCCATTTCATTCAGCTACAGCCTGGAGTTGGCACTTCCAGTGCTACCCCCTGCCTGTGTCTGGGTTTCTATTGGCTGTTTTTCTTTTCTTGAGTGGTGGTTTTTCTCTTAATAAAATTAATCAAACACTGAGCTGACAAATCTGCCCTGGTCAAGAGAGAGGACAGCCACAGATGGGGGCACAGAGTCAGCAGGACTCTAGGTGGGTAAAGTCAATCCCAGCCAGTCCCCATGGCTTTTCCCCTTCGGTGTCTCTCATGGCCCAGGGCTGCCTGCCTAGGATGCCCACAGGAGGAGCCTCACACAACAGCCCAGAGGACACACCAGCATGGACCCAGGGGCCCCAAGAGTACCAAATGAGTGCTTCAGGCCTGAGACAATCTGAAGACTTAAGACCCCGCAAGGGCCCAAAAGCTCCAGCCTCCCACTGCTCCAAAAAGCGAGAAAGGAGCTTCACGCCACTAGCCTTGGCCTCTGACTCACACACACCACGATCTGGGCCCGGGACAAAGGCCCCGCATGACCCAGAGATAGAGGCAGAGGCCCATGTGTCACTACACCTGACCTCTTTAAGGAGATTCAGCCACAACATTTAAAAGGCTTTAATCAGAGCTGCAGGACACAGGTAACTCCTCTTGCTCCTGATTTTCACAGGCTATAAAGACAGCTCTGGGAAATCCAGAGTGGGCCCAGGTGCAGTCCCAGGGTGGATGCACCAGCACGAACACCAGCTTCAGCGCCAGCCTTCACATGGTGGCCTTTTGGGGTCCAGCTCTATTTTTGGGTACTTGCAACACCTGAATCGGTGGAACTTGCAGTTCAGAGTTTATCTGGAAAAGAAAGGAGTGAAGGTCATTTCACTTTCCCCAAGGTGTTCCTTCTTCATGATCTCTGGGGTCAAGAGCACATGCCGGTTCTTCCATGGGCCTCTAAGACCCTGCAAGCTCTTCTTCTCCAATGCTGAGGGAGACCTGATCACCCACAGGCCACCTCAGAAGCCACGTCTGAGCCTTCTTGCTTAGCTTCTGCTCCGGTTAGTGAGCTCGGGTAGCACTCTCAATAGTCCCTTTGACCCACCCTCTTCAGTCCCCTCACTCCTCTCTTCATGGGCCCATTCCACCCCCAGTCTAGCCTGCCCTTACCTCCTCCTCCCCCATCCTCTTGTCCACAGTGATATCCATGGAAGCAGGGACCATACGGTCCCCAAGTGTCTGAGTCCTGTCACAGGCCAAGGGGCCATTGTGATGCCACAGCTCACCACCTTCTCAGAAGTGGCCTGGGACCTGAGGCCATGCAGGACTGGGGGCTGACCTCAGTCACCGTACACGTGGGCAGCTGACGGCTGTGTTGTGACATCCTGACTCATGGCCCAGCATCGGGTGAAGTCTCCCACACCCACAGAGCAAAGTAAGCAACTGTTACCAAAGGACTTTTCCCTTTCTTCTCCTGCCAGCCATGGGGAAGTTACCACAATTATCACCAGTACAGGGAGAAACAGGGGCCAGGGAGTATCTACCCAGCAGAGCCTTCTCCTCCCACACAATGATGACCCTCCAATCATATCACAGGCCAGGGATCCCAGGCTGGCAGCATGGAAGAGCCTAGGCTCAAACAAAGTTTCTGAGTTTGGGTTTCTCTTTTTGTGAGATGGGGGCCCACTTCTGTCCTGGTATCCTCACGGAGTGGTTGTGAGGGTCAAGAAGAAAACACACCTGGAAGGCTCTTAACTGAGAGGCTGCTCTTGTCTTTGCCACTGCTTAACAATTTTAGTTCCAACAGGCAGCTGGTGCCAAAAGCTACAGCCTCAAAGGTATGCTGTGACAGCCCAGCAACTTTGGCTATATCCACCCTGCACCGAAAAGCTGTCCAGCTCGAAACATGGTTATTGATCCTTTGACTCAAAGCTCCCTGCTTTGGGTGAGGAGGGGGATCTCCTCATGTCCTAAAGTCAGCTCCAGGTCCCCAGCCCGGCCCTGCCCCTGTTGCCCGTCCTTGGAGGGTATAGTCACCCACCTTGGAGTCAAGGTACTGCTGCAACAGCATCTGGAGCTCCGTGTTCTGCTGCTCCAGAGAACTATTTTCCTTCAGCAGCTTGGCCCTCTGGGTCAGGACAAGGCTTTGGGCAGAAAGATAGATTATAGGTCCATTGAATCCTCCAGCCTCTGCCAAGGAGGGGCCAGGGTCTGGCTGGGGGGAGGGAGACCCCAGAAGCCTCGCCTTTCACCCAGCTACCAGACAAGCCAGGCTAGCAGAAGCAGAACAGGCAGGGCAGGGCCGAGAGCTATCCACCCAACACAATCCACCCCCTCCCCAGGGGTGCCAAGGGCAGCTTTTCTCTTTCAGATTTTGTGGGACAGGGAGACAACAAATGTGGCTGCTCTGAGCAATTGTTCCTCACCCCCTACCACACCTTCCTGCTCCTGGCCATGACATTCACACTTACTGGTATTTCTCCAGGGCAGTGTAGAGAGCATCCCAGAGACCCTGCTTGGCAGGAGGGATAACCGTGGTCAGGGCCTGCCAGTACTCGGAGTCCTTGGAGTCACTGCGCACGTCCTTCCACACTCTCAGCGGTGCCTGTGGGTCCCTGACGGTCAAGAGCACTGGGACTATCATCTCCACCTGGCACCACCCAGGCTCCCAAGTAGTCCCAGTTACAGACTTACTGCTTTTCCAACTGGCACTTTCCCACTCAGCTGCCCACGTTTATTAGACAATGGTGGGTTCCCAGAAGGAACAATGCTTAGCGTCCACGTTCCTGACTCACGGAGCCACTGCTACCTCCATGCAGGCACCTTGGTGTTTCATTCACTCCCCTTTCTCCCAGTCTACCTCAGCAGCTTTAGCAGATCACCACTATGCCCATTGCTCTCACATGGGTGTCCAAAACAGCTCTCGAATTCTGTCCTAGTCTCTCCATCCCCTCTATGACAGCCTTAATCCAGGAGATCATCACCTCCCACCTGGACAAGTCCCCCAGTTGCTCTCCCTGTATCCAGTCTCACCCCCTCCCTGCGGCCACAGTGATCTTTCCAAAATGCAAATCTAATCATGGCTCCCCACTGCTTAAAATCCTTTTCTGGCTCCAGTCAACCAAGGTGTTAAAGGCAAAGATCTCAGGCATGCTGGGCAAGGCTCTCCAGGACCTGGCTGGCTCCCCACCCACCAGTCCCACTCCCAGACCCTTGACACTCAGCTTGGCTCCTCCCCGGGCCTCAGGTAAGACCCCGGTCCCACAGCCCACCTGGGTTTCTTCAGACCCATGACAAAGGCCTCCAGAATCTTGGGGACATCATTGGGGTGGATGAGCCTGGGAGAGGGCTGGGGCTCCGTCTCTTCCTTCTGCTTCCCCTCCACGAGGCTTTCCTCCTTTTCTCCTTCCATCACTGTCTGCTCTGCCAGGGGCGATTCTGACACCATGCTTGTCTGCTCCATGTTGGCTTGAGTACAGGGCTTGATCTGGGAAAGATGCTACAGTGGCACAGGCATGAGAAAAGAGAGACAGGGAGAGAAAAAATGGAGAAAGTTTATGGAAGGTTGCAGAAAACTTGCAGAGGGAGATGCTTATACAAGGACAGAAAGAGTGAGGAGAAAAGTGGAAAGTAGAGGGGCGATGGGGAGAGGCTTGGGAGCTCAAAGCAATGACAAGTTTCTGATTCTAGATCAGGTGTTCCTTTACCAATATCCACAAAATTCATGTTATAAATTTCCTTTTGAATACAACACAAGTTAAGTTTTTGTTTTAATTTTTAAATTTAAAAAAGTCTTCCTCCTACTCCTATCTTGCAGTTCATTCAATTTACCTCCCACAGGCAAACTAACGCTATCAAGTTTCTTACATATTGTCTCAGATAAATATATAGTTTACATAATCAAGTACATATATAAATACACATACTTTTCCATAGATACTTTTCCTTCCCATTCTTACATAAATGACACGATACTACACACAAGTTCTGTACTTTTTCACACACCAATAAGCCTTAAACATCTTTTCATATAACTACACAAAGAACTTTTTTTTCACAGTTGTATAGTATCCCATTAGGTAGATGTACCACATATTATTAAATAAATTCTTCAATGATGGACATGTAGGTTGTTTCCAATCCTCTCCTATTTCAAACAATGCTGCAATGTATAGGCTATAATAAACATCATTTCAACTGTCCCGAGATCCATGATTAGTATAAAGCCCTAGAAGAAACTGTAAAGTATATACAGTTATATACTTGATAGTGCCAAACTGCCCTCTGGAGGTTACAACAATTTATATTCCTACCAGCAACTTATGAGCATGCCTTTCCCCATACCTCAGTCATCACTATGTGTTATCAAACTTTCAGGTTTTTGCCAACCTGATAAGTGAAAACTAGAATTCAGGCAGTTTGCTTTTCTCTTATTACAAGGAAGTCTGACTATAGTTTCATATGTTTAAAAGTTATCCGTATTGTCTCTCCTAAGAGGTGTTCATTCATATGTGTTATCTGTGCCATTGAGTTATTGGTCTTTTTCTTATTGGTTTATGAAAGCTCTTTATATATTGAGAAAACTAGTCCTTAACTATGATATATGAGTTGAAAATATTTCTCTGCAGCTTGTCATTTGACTCTTTGTTTGATTTTATTTTTTATTTTAAAGATGCGGGGTACAATTCAGGATTAGGTATACAAATGTTCATTATGCAGGTACCCTTGTTGATGAGGTATGCCGCTCCTTCCCCTGGTAGTTTCCCTCAACTGCCAATCCCACCCCCCCACTCCCCTGGCAGCTTCCCACTACTGCCAATCCCTTTCTTTTACTGTTATGATCATTGTTCAAGGTCTGCTTATGAGTGAGAACATATGGTACTCTGTTCTTTGTTTCTGTGAAAGATCACTGAGTATGATAAACTCTAAATCCATCCAAGTTGCTGCAAAGTCCATATGTTTGTTCTTCTTTATGGCTACATAGTATTTCATTGTGTATATGTACCACTTTTTTTTATGCAGTCTAGCTTCGATGGGCAGCATGGTTGGTTCCATGTTTTTGCTATTGTGAAGAGAGCTGCAACAAACATGCGTGTGCAGGTATCTTTTTGTAGAATGATTTGACTTCCTCCGGGTATATTCCCAATAGGGGGATTGTTGGGTCATATGGAAGGTCAATTTCTAGTTCTTTCAGAAATGGCCACACTGGTTTCCAAAGGGGTTGCACTAGTTTTCACTTCCACCAGCAATGTAGAAGCGTTCCTTTTTCTCCGCATCCTCGCCAGCATCTGTTGTTGTTTTACTAATGATGGTCATTCTTGCTGGGGTTAGGTGGTATCTCAATGTAGTTTTGATTTGCATTTCTCTGATGATGAGTGAGGCTGAGCACTTTTTCATGTGTCTGTTGGCTGCCTGTGTATCTTCTTTTGAGAAGTGTCTATTCATGTCTTTTGCCCACTTTTTAATGGGACTATTTGTTTTTTTCTTTTTGGCGTGCTTGAGTTCCTTGTAGATCCTAAATGTTAGGCCTTTGTCAGATTGACAAATATTTTTTCCCATTCCATGGGTTGTCTTCCTGCTCTCTTGATGGTTTATTTTGCTTTGATGAGGTCCCACTTGTCTATCTTATTTCTTATGGTATGGGCACTTAGGGTTTTGATCAGGAATTGGTTAACAGTTCCAATTTCCATAAGGGTATCGTCTTCATTTTCTAAGATTCTTATAGTTTGAGGTTTTGCATTTAGGTCTTAGATCCATTTAGAGTTATTTTTTGTGTGTGGTGATAGGTAGGGGTCCTATTTCAATCTTCTGCATGTGGTCAGTCAGTTTTCCCAGCACCATTTACTGAATGTGTTCTCCTCCCCCCAGTGGTTATTGTTGGAGGCTTTGTCAAAGATGAGCTGGTTGAGAAATTGAGGCTTTGCTTCTGGAATCTCTATCCTCTTCCATTGGTCTATATACCTGTTCTTGTACCAATACCAGGGTCATCTGACTCTTAACTTTGCTTATAGTGATTTTTGCCCTAAAGAATTTGTTTTGATGCTGTCAAATGTATCTTTTTTTCTCCTTTAAGCTTCTTGGTTTTGTCCACTCAGCCAGTTCTTCCTGGATGCATATCAGGACACTCACCCTTGGGCTAGCACAACTAAAAACATTTTTTAAATTCAGGTTTTTGTTTTTTAAATTAATATTTTATAATATTTTTAATATGGTGACCTCTTCAAAGTAGTCAATATTTGATTCTCCTAATGAAATCAGTTATAATCAAGATATGTATTGCCGGCCGGGCTCGGTGGCTCAGCCTGTAATCCCGCACCTTTGGGAGGCTGAGGTGAGTGGATTGCCTGAGCCCGCGGGTTCGAGACCCGCCTGGGCAGCGAGACCTCATCTCTACAATAAATCAAAAAATCAACCGGGCGTGGTAGCACATGTCTGTAATTCCGGCTACTTGGAAGGCTGAGGCGGAAGGATCGCCGGAGCCCAGCAGGTCGAGGCTGCGGTGGCCACTGCACTCCGGTCTGGGCAACAGAGTGAGACTCCAACTCAAAAAAAAAAAAAAAAAAGATATGTATTGCCAATGGGCCCTGCTTTGCAGGAAAATGTTAAGTATAAAAATATGCAGAACATGGTGGGCTCTGGTCTCACGGTGGCTGAGATCAGCTTTCAAGAAGGGCACAGGAAAAGATTCCTCGGGCCACAATATAAGAATAGCACCTCACCCTCCACCACGCCATCCCTTGCAAATAGAAAGATTAATAATGCCAAGGAAAATGCTAAGTTAGCTATACCTGACATAAAGTACCCACTATTTCCACAGGAGTACCATTCAAAGGCAGCATTGGCCTCTGGGTTTCCAGGAGAACCAAAAACGCTCTCTCCTCAGTTGCACCTCCCCTTACCTGGCCAGAGGATAAATGATGAGCTCGGTATTTGAGGAAGAAGTTCACCAGTTTATACAAGTCATCCTCACTTTCAATTCCCAGGGCCTGGGGGAAATAGGAAGGTTGTTCAAATACTCCATCAGACTGGCTGGGAGTTAAAGACACTCAGTTCCTGAGCAGGAGGCATGGCTTTCTCCCCTCTGCATCCCAGTGCCTGCCATGGCCAGGTAGAGGGTATTCATCCAGCACTGGGAAACCACCATGAAGCTGGGAAAACACACACACATCACCATAGAAGGAAACGGTGTTCACAGGGCCAGGAAGTGGGGGTGTAGTGAGAATGTTAATGGGGGCTGTGCACATATCTGAGTTTGGGGGTACAGGGGAGAACCTACAATATGAGAGCTGGGCCACAAGAGGAGGAAGCTGGTAGAGGAAGGTCTGGGAGGTAGACACCTCAACCACTCTCAGGTCAATGTATCATGTGGGGAATAACTAAAGGGAAGGATGTGGCAGTGAGTGGAGAAGCCCTGGGAGACATTCATCCACTCCTGGGACTGAGGCAATGTGGAGTCAGCACAGGTGGCTATCTGAGAGCGGGGCCTCTTAGCCCAGCAGGACTCACCGAGAAGATGGTATCCAGCCTCAGCAGATAGCCTTCACTCTTCTCCAGGGGGAGGAGAAGGCTCAGCAGCTTGCTCTCTATGAGGAAACCCTGAGGAGAAGGAAGAAGGCACCTCCTGTCAGGGGCAGGTTTTAGGAACAAGTCCCAAGGCCTGCAGCTACCCTGTGTAACACTCCAGAGATGACTCCATAGAGCACAACCCCCCAGGATGAGTCTCTGGGCAGTGGGGTCCCCACAAAAAGCCTTCTTGGGATGCCTATGAGCCATTTCAGGGAGCAAGGCCAGAAATAAAATCAACCTTCACCATGGATTTAGCTGGCCCCCACCTCAAAAGAGTGCTAATACCCATTACCCACCAAGCCCTGGGCAAACACCTGAGTCCTGACAGCAGTCCAAACCTGGCCCAGTCACGGGTGCCCACTTCACTCATGATCTAGTCCCCAAATATCTACAGAACACAGCAGTAGGCACTAAGCTGGAAGAGAGGAAGGCATGGAGGGCAGTGGGCACACCATATCAGAATACAATACCATGCAGTGGAGAGAAGGTAGCTGAGGAAACACGGTGCCTGCTCTGAGCTGGCAAGTCTTGGGGAAGGCTCTGTGGGAGATGACCCCTGGCATCAAGCTTCAGATGGAGAGGGCAGGACCTCCCAGCTGACTTTTGGCAGGAGTACTCTCAGTGGCAGAAGCCAGCCCTTGTGCAAAAGAAAACTGTTCCAACTGCCTCCAGATGAGCTGGAGGCTGCCAGTCCTTGCTCTGCCTCCTTCGCTACCTCAGAACCAAAAATCGAAACCAACACTGATGGCGTTTGGTAACAACACAGCTTCCAGCTGAACCAGCTCTAGTGCAGAGTGTTCTCTAAGTCTAATTGTTTTTGCTAAGACACAATGCAGATACTGAAAGCCTAACATATCCAGAGTAACCCCAAACTAAGCCCCCAAAGGCCACATCAGTGTGCCCATGTCACTTAGCAAATGGGTTCATGGAGGTGCCCCTTCTATCTCAGAGCAGGCATTATTTTAAGCTAGCACTTAGATTGCAGACCCACTGCAGTTAGGCCCATTCACCAGCTGGGCTAGCTCTGAGACATAGCCTGTGAGCTGCCCCCCAACAATGTCCAGGGACCACCCTAGCTCTGCATCTCAGGCCCAGTCTCTGGGCATGGCAAGGGGAAGACTAGCCCACTTATGACTCAGGCCAGAGCTGGCCCAGCAGAGCCCTCAGAAGCAGCACACAAGCAGGAGTCCCTCTGCCATAGCCCTGCCCAGCCTCACCGACTCATCACAAAGAAGCATCAGTATCTTTCTGGTAGTTTTTGGGGAAACTCGCTTTGGCAGGTCCAGGTAAGTCTCTGCTTCTGAGGTGGTCTCTTCTGCCTCCTCCTCTTCTACAGATGGGTCATGGAATGAAGAGAAAGAAAGAAGAAGATCACTGATTGGCATAGTTGACTTTGAGAAACAGATGGTTTTCCTTAAAAATCCACTTTTTATTTTTATATTTTTATATTTAAATTACCTTCATTGTATTTATTTTTAAGTTTAAATACAATCTTTGTTTTTAATTTTAAAGATGTGGGGCACAATTCAGGGTTAGGTATACAAACGTTGATTATACAGGTACCCTTGTTGCTGAGGTATGCCCCCAACCCTGGCAGTTTCCCACTGCCAATTCCATTCTTATAGAATTATGATAGTTGTTCAGTGTCCGCTTATGAGTGAGAACATGTGATACTCAGAAGAAACTACTTTTTAAAAAGCCTCTATGAGGCATTATCACAGTTTCTTGATGCTGAAACAAGCCTATTATATGGGTGGGGAGGGCTTGGGATTGGAATCAGAGACTACCTGGATAACTCACCATCCTCAGCCAGCCCATAATGCCTTACTGCCCCAACTGCATCTATCTGGGAACATCATACTCAAAGCCTAGCCATGGAAGTGGGAGGTAGAGTGTTAGCCTATTCATTGTAGAGACAATCTAGCAAGTGTGCTATATGGTTTCTAAACTTGCAACAGATCAGAAGCAGCTGACTGAAAGGGGGGAAGTGGCTGCCTCACAGAGGAATGTTGTCAGCAAAAACTAATACCTGACAACAAGAGCCAAAAATATTCCTAATTAAAATTAGAAAATTTAAAAATATTGTATGCTATACATTCCTCAACTGAAAATGGGAATAAAAAGTATTGTATTGCCCAGGTCTTACTGGGTATTCAAAAGGTAAGATGAGATAATATCTATGGAAAGATCTTGTGGGAATGCAAAATGGTACCATCCCCATGCAGCAAGATCCAGCAAAATCACACAGGCATTCACCCTTTGATCCAGCAGTCCTGCGTCTAGGGATCTGGCCCAGCATCTCACTAGTGACAATGTGAAAAGACAAATGAACAAAGCTATTTATTGCAGCCACATTTGTAATCATAAAAATAAACAAAAAACTGGAACCATTCCAAAGACAATAACAGAGGATTATTTGAGTAAATTATGGCACAAACACAATGGAATACCATGTAAAAACTAAATTTAAAAAAATATTTTACTGCTCTAGAAAGATCTCTAGGATTATTATAAGTGAAAAAGCAAGGTGGAAAAAAACATGTGCTTTTTTTTTTTTTTTTTTTGAGTTGGAGTCTCACTCAGTCGCCCAGACTGGAGTGCAGTGGCCACTCCCGACCACCGCAGCCTTGACCTGCTGGGCTCCTTCCACTTCTGCCTTCCAAGTAGCTGGAACTACAGGCACGCACTACCACACCCGGCTAATTTTTTGATTTATTGTAGAGATGAGGTCTCGCCAAGTTGCCCAGGCGGGTCTCGAACCCGCAGGCTCAGGCAATTCACTCACCTCGGCCTCCCAAAGCATGGGATTATAGGCTGAGCCACCGAGCCTGGCTCATGTGCTTTTATTTGCCTAAAAAATCCATGCATTTATGTTTTTTAAAAACTCATTAGGAACTTTGAAAGATGCTAGAGACCCAATCCGTTATCCTGAAAACTGGCAAATGGAGAAAAAATAAGCATCTATTCTGCTTTTCCTACCCAAACTGTATCTCAGGGTAACAAAAAACTAAATAGGAGAAGAGTCTCTTTTCAGAAGTGTCCTAGCTATTAAATGAAGACATAATAATAAAATTTAAAATATTACCAGTTTGCAACTCATAATGCAACAAATGGATCTTAAAAAAAGAGACAACCTAACATTAACCCGATGGAGGTACACAACAGTGTACCTAGCAAAATAAATCGTACTTGCAACTAATCAAGTTTCTAGCTCTAGCTACCAGTTTGCAAGACAGGGGAAAGGGCAAAGCTATACATTAAAGGAGACTCACAAGCCACATCAACTAATCATACTCTCCGAGCCCCTAGCTATGGGTCCTCTTCCCCCTCCTCTCTGGCCTTTGATTTCCATTTCAGCAAGATGTCTGGGTTAACCCCGTGTTCTCAGAGGGCGTCTCCAGCTCTCAGGCTCTGAGGCTCTTCACTGGTCACCTGTTTGCATCAGCACTTCTTCTACTATTTGTGTGGCAGACTTCTGCTGCTGAGAAATGGGTCCCACATTCTTCAGGAACCAGAAGTCCGGCGCCATCCAGGGGAGCCCCAGATGGTGGGTATGGATGACCCTGTCCACAGCAAAGGCTCTGCCGATTAGCTCCTTCGCTTCCTCTTCATTCATCAGCCAAACGTCCCGAAGTTTCTTGTCATCAATAAGAGCAAAATGCCTGTGAAGGAGAGTCGCCAAGCATGGCCCGCTGACCCCACGGCCCCCTAAGCCGGCAGTCGGGGCAAGAAGGTGAAAAAGAGCGGTGGTGAATCCTGGGCCTTGCCCCACCCATGGGCAGCTGGCTCCCAAATATGGTAAACTGGAAGCCACCCCAAGAAGTCTCAAGAAAAGGCAAGTGACATGAGATGAAAGGGACAGAGGAACCCAGCATGGAAGGTTCTCGAGGGCCTTGTCCAGCTCCCAGACAGCTGGTGCTCTCAAGCCCCGTGAAGTCACTCTCACGACAGACTCTACCCCCACACCACCTCTACTCCGGGACAGGCACCTTGGGACCCAAATCCCTAAAATACCTCATGGCTTTCTGAAGCTCCTTGAATTGCATCACGAGACGTTTGTAGTCTGAGGTTAGGGACTGGTTTTCCTCCTGAAACTGCTTTATCTGCTTGGCGTATTTTGATCTCAGATTGTTAAGTACATCATGCAGGCTGGTTAAAGGGAAAAAAGTTAGTCTGCAGCGGAATAGAAGGTGTCACGTGTGTTCCTCTCATCCACCTGACTCAGCTCTATGGCAAACCAGGGTCAGGTAGAAGAGCAGAAAACCCTCCCACATATCCCAAATCACAGCTCCTGCTGTGATCCATGGAAGGAAGGTAGCAGGAGGAAACGAGGTGGTCCACAACTGAATGCACTGAAAACAGTCCAGAAGCCCACTGCCACCAAGACCAGTCTCAAGAGTTTGACTGACCCTTCCTCAGTATATCATTTGCCAGACTGTCCATATCAAGGGCCACCCCTCATATTTAAACAATTTATCTCAGCCACTTCATTGACATAGATGTTCATTTTAATTCTGAAATAAGGAAAATTGAAAGAAAAATTAAAACTGCACACACAAGCCTATGATATATGAATCCTCCATTTTCAAAGAGCTGATAATTGTTAACAGGTCTAGTAACTCATTCATTCACTCATTCATTTATTCATTCACCAAACATGAAATGCCTCTTTTGTGCCAAGGATATGTTTGAATACGGAAATGAATACAAAGATCTGGTTGAATACAAGGCACTTTCAGTCCAGTCAAAGACAAACATTAACACATACAGTGTGAAAAGTGCTGTAGGAGAGTTTTACATAACATGCCAGGAGACCCCAGAGGTGAGGCATTGAACTTCCCAGGCTTGCAGGGGAGGGGATGATCAAAGGTTCCAGAACAGAAAAAGACAGTTAAAACCTGGCCAGTAGCACTGTGAATGCAGGCACAGCACAGCTCACCACCTTACTGCCAACAGCAACTCTGCATGGAAACTTGTTCCATAAAATATGCATAGTACACAGCTTTTAGACCCAGGACCACACTTCAGACTTCAAACTACTAAATCATGCTCCATTTACACAGGAATAGAGAAACTGAAGGCAGACATAGTTTAATATTAAAAGTTCTAAAAAATAAAATTTTCTCCTAAGCATTATTCATAAGTAATCAAGAAAATACAAAATAAATTTAACTTAGTCTCTGATAAAAAAGAAATATTCCATCCATTTTCTTAACTATAGCATTCTAGGAGGTTTTCCAAATACAAGTGTAAAAAACATTGTTTTAAGTCAGCCCAAAGTGTTGTTTGTTTGTTTCTGTGTCATTCCGTAAAGGAGTTCCTATGAGCCATCTAATTATAGAAGCTGATACAACAACAATGAACTCCAGGTACATACTGAAGGTCTGGGCAAGACAGACGGCAAAGGAGGGAGTGGACAGAAGAGAAGGACTGCAAGAGGAGACTCAGCTGGAAGGCCAGAGTCGTTAGTAGCCAGCTGGAAGCTAAAGATGACGGCGAACTAGGCTGGAGAACTGGAAAACTGGAAGCAGAGTCTGGTTTCAGAAACTGTACACCAGAAATGACTGTGACTCTCCAGGTTGTACTGCTACGTTAGCAGCTCCAGACAAAGCAAAGTGGAGGGGTCAAGATTAGGGACATGACGCTGGTAGTCATCAACGAAAAGGTGGTATTCAAAACCAGGAGCTTGAATTATAAGGCAAATTAAATAAAAATAAAAAGCAAAGGAGTAAGGTAAGTCCTGTGCTTTCTAAAATACCTTACCTACATATTTAAGAAATATCAGGCAAGAAAAAGTAGAACCACTAAAGAAAACTAATAAGGAATAAATTAAGAAAGAAGGGCAAATACTTTAGGGTTAAATAAAATAAAATTCAGTAGCCAAAAATAATATGTAGGGCACCACTGGTACCCTACAGTAGGGAGTTTTTGTCCTATCCCGGGGCCATAGGTTGCTATGGCTTAAATGTATCTCCTCCAAAACTCAGTGTTGCCAATGTCATAGTTTTAAGAGGCGATTAGGCCATGAGGGCTCCTCCCTCGTGAATGGAGTAAAGATGCCTATAAGAAACTTTTGGCGCCTTGGGTCAGCTTGCTCTTCTGACATGTGAGGACACAGTGTTTCTCCCCTCTAGAGGATATAGCTCTCACTAGAAACCAAGCCTGCCAGTGCCTTCATCTTGGACTTCCCAGGCTCCAGAATGGTAAGAAATAAACTTTTGTTCTCCATCAAATATCCCTTCTCAGGTATTCTGTTATAGCAGCACAAACAGACTAAGACATAGGTCAAATTATGAAAGGTTGGGGCAATGGGTGACAAGGAAAGGAAATAGCAATGAAAACAAGAGCAAAAAAGAAACAGCAGGGTTTGCTGAAGGTTTTTTCAGGCTAAGAGAAACCTGTCTAAGTTTGAAGTCCGAGGGAAGAGCTGGTGAAGGGGAGACGGTAGAGATGAATCCACTCATCTCTCTGCCGTGTGCATCTAACCCAAGCCCTGCCCCAAGCACTTCGTCCCACCTCCCCTCTTTCCAGCTCTCTCCACCCACTCTGCAATCTATAACTTTCTAAATCTGACCCTCCTTGCCTCTGGACCTGCCATTCCCAGCTACTGACACTGTCTACCTGGAGTCACCTCTTAACTGCTTTCATCCAATCCATGTCCCTACCCACTTCAATATTTTACTTCTTTGGGAAGTTTTCCCAGATAACTCCTAACTGCACTGATTTGTGTCTTCCCTTCATGTTCTCTGATCTAGTATGGTGCATATACAGTAGAATTTTTAAAAAATATTATTCCCTAACTATCCTTGTTTCTCAGATGATCAGGCTTAAGACACCAGTTGATTTATTCAGTATCATTTTCTTTTATAACTAAATATCAAAAAATCAACTGGTATTACCTCTATATACCCAACATTTGTCCAAAATGTATGCTCAACCTACAAATGGAATAATTCAAAAATAATAAGCTATTTGGGCCTTGGGGGAAAATCCTCAATCTCATCTCCTAAAACCAAGATGTCTTATTCTACTCTGACTCACAGAGCCTTCCACAGTGGTCTGGAATTTAGCTGATTCTCAAAGGAATAGGCAGGACAGATGAAAGGAAGAAAACAGGAAGGGGAAGGATGCATGAGAAATTTCAAGCAATAGGTACCTTTCAACGAGCCACAGTATCTGCACAAAAGCAGGTTGATACATTGTCATGAGTACATAGTTGGTATTATTTGCAATAGTAAAAGATTAGAAGCAATCTACATGTCCATCTTTAGAGACTGGTTAAATAAATCACAATACATCTATGCAGTGCAGTACTTAAGTAGCTTAAGAAATCATGTGAAAAGGCCAGGCTTGATGGCTCAGCCCGTAATCCCAGCACTTTGGGAGGCTGAGGTGAGTGGATTGCCTGAGCCCATGGGTTCAAGACCAGACCTCGTCTCTGCAATAAATCAAAAAATACCCAAGTATGGTAGTGCACGCATGAAGTTCCAGCTACTTGGAAGGATCACTGGAGCCCAGCAGGTCAACGCTGGGGTGACTGTGAGCATGTCACTGCACTTCAGCCTGGGCAATGGAGTAAGATGCCGACTCAAAAAAAAAAAAAAAAAGAAATCATGTGAAAGCTCTCTTTGAGCTGACAGGGAAAGGTCTTCAAGAAAGCTCTTCAGTGTGTACAGAAGGCTATCATCTGTGTAAAAGCAGGGGGAGATGAGAATGTTTATTTGAATGCACTTATATATGCATAAAGAAGTTCTAGAAGAAAAACAATGGTTACAGAGGCAGGAAAGAGGAACGAGACAAATGGGAACAGGAGACATTTTGCTACGTACTCTTTTCTTGGGAGGAGACGGTGGAACCACTTGAATGTAGTGACTTTTCCAAAAACTATTTTAATAAATGTTGGTAATATTTTTAATGGTTTCTACCCCTTTAGGAGAGAAAAGTACATACCCATGTCTGTTCCCAGCTTAGAAGGGTCTAGAAAACAAATGCAATGCATATTAGCTTACCGATTGATCTTTCTCTTCTGCTGGGATTTAATCACCGTGCTTTCTTCATCTCGCTTCTTCAGCACCTGGAAGTTGTACTCCAACTTCTCTTGGTTTAGCTGATAAATTGCTTTCATCTGCTGAAGCTGTTGCTCAAGAATCTAAAGTTAAAATATATTGATATAAAATATATTGATGTATTGATTGGCCCTAGTATCATTTGTTGTACCTGAGGGTCTCTGATAGATTATTCAAATAATGCCAGAGGAGCCTTGGCGACAAGTTCCTTGGCCTGGATCCTTAGAAAGTCTATTACTAGAGGTAAATTAAAGGCCAACTAGATAAAACAAACAAATCAACTGCAAGCTAAAACCTGAATGCCTGAAACCTAAGAAAAATCAAATTAGAGCTTCCAGGTCCAACTAACTCTCATACTTTGCACCAGACCCTTTAGAGATATGAGCAAAAACACCATAAAAACAAATATTGCCATAAAAATTTGACATATCCTCACTTTGACCTTCCAGAGCATAGTGACAGTGTTTAGCAACCCATGTTCACTTAAAAGTAGAACAAGCTGGGCTCGGTGGCTCAGTCTGTAATCCCACGCCTTGGGAGGCTGAGGTGAGTGGATTGCCTGGGCCCGCGGGTTCGAGACCCACCTGGGCAACTTGGCGAGCCCTCATCTCTACAATAAATCAAAAAATCAGCTGGGTGTGGTAGCGCATGCCTGTAATTCCGGCTACTCAGAAAGCTGAGGCGGAAGGATCGCTGGAGCCCAGCAGTCGAGGCTGCGGTGGCCGGGAGTGGTCACTGCACTCCAGTCTGGGCGACTGAGTGAGACTCCAACTCAAAAAAAAATAAAAATAAAAAAATAAAAATAGAACAGACACAGTCACACAGTCATCCTTAAATTTTGAATTTCCATGAGCTGTATTCATTCATTCAGGAAATATCTATTGAGCGCACAGTATTTGTCAGACGCTTTTCCAGGTGCAACTGGAAAAATACCAGTGAGAAAGGCATAGCCCTTCCCGATTCAGGACCAAGACAGATAAGCAAGCACTAGTGACAAGAAGTAATAGAGGTAAGCACAGGCCACTGTGGGACCAATGAGAGGAGAACTTTCTTTGGCCTTGAGAGACCAGGGAAAACATCCCTGAAAAGATGACATTAGCTTGTCTACCTGAGGAGAATGAGTTGGAGTTACTCAAGTGACACATGAGCCAGGCTCCTGCCCTTCCTCAGGGGACGCAGGGATGGAGAATGCAGTTACTATAATCAGATCTTGATAAAACAGCCATGTGCCTGCTCTTGAGCCTCCTTCCCGTCTCCCTCCACCAGCCTACAAACTCTGGCCAAGGGATCGACCAAGGAAGGGGGGTTCCAAGCAGCTATCGCAGGCCCCCTTTGGGTCATCCTCAAGAAAGGCAACCGGGAGGAGATGACACATTATCAAGTCAGGAGACGCATCATTTCCACATTCAGTGTGGAATCTGGTGGTCCACCCTTTGTATCCAGGGGAATTAGTCTTGCACTTGACTAAAGATTTTAACATCTGTTATGAGTACTTGACGTCTCCTTCAGAACAGAAGTCTGTAATGTCTATTATTTAACAAATAGTCAATGAAGAGCCATACTAGTCTTTGGGATCATAACTAATTCTACTTCTCAATTTCTCCACTTGTTTGGTCAATTTTTTACTACTTTTTCTAGTTACGTGCTTTTTTTGGTGAAAACTTTTCCTGATTGCAAAGGCAATACTGGTTCATTGTAGAAAGTTTGGAAAGTACAGCAAATGAGAAAAGAAGACATAGGAAAAGGGGAAGAAAAACTACCCATAAACTACCACCAAAGGCAACTTCCGTTAACATATTGGTATGTTTCCCTCAAAGGTCACATCCTTGGTGAGACTTCCCCAAACTCCTTGTCTAAGATTCTTCTGCAACCCCGTTCCTCCCAACTACTTTCACCCATGTTTGCTGCCTGTTCACAATCGTTAAGCTGTTATCTTGTTCTTTAACACATTTATTGTCTATCACTCTCAGGCTTCACGATTATGATGTCACTTAGGAGTTACTGGCAGTGTGGTCAATGAACTTACAGAACTATTCATAGTCTTGTGCCTCCTAGAGTGGAATCTACACAAAGTGGGAATAACATGATTTACGCTACTCGCCATTTCTCTTCACATCTTTTGCTCACAATCATTTTAGTACCCATGACTCTATTGCTAAATGTCTCAGGTTGTAGTCTCAATATATAATCATCCTAGATTGTCGTAGATTGAATAAAATTAGTTTCAAAAAATTGTAGCCGATTTTGCTAAATGTTTGTACTTATTATTCAATTACCCAAAATTATTTTGCAAAGTTGTATTTCATGTTCTCAACACAGCCTTTCCCTCTGGCCTACGTGACTGACTCCAGAGATCCTGCTGGGTCTCTTTATTCCAACCTGGTGCCTGCGCTGGACCTGTAGGTCCCCATGTTGGAACCATGAGATTGGCAATTCCATCTCGGACCCTCACTCTGCCCCATGGCTCACTCTTTCACACTATTTGTGTAGCTTGCTCTCTTACTCAATGGAATAAAAGTTCATGGAGACAGAGATTGTATCTTGTTTATCTCTGTGCTTTGCACCATGTGAGTTTAAGATATGCTAAATAAATAACTTTTTTTTTTCTTCTGAGTTGGAGTCTCACTCTGTTGTCCAGGCTGGAGTGCAGTGGCACACTCACAGCCACCACAGCCTCGACCTACTGGGCTCAGGCAATCCTTCCACTTCAGCCTTCCAAGTGGCTAGAACTACAGGCATGTGCCACCACACCCTGCTAATTTTTTGATTTATGGTAGAGATGAGGTCTCGCCAAGTTGCTCAGGCTGGTATCGAACCCGTGAGCTCAGGCAATCCTCTCACCTCGGCCTCCCAAAGAGCTGGGATTATAGGCGTGAGCCACCATGCCCCGTCATAAATAACTTCTATTTAATTTCTTGAGATAAATATTCTAGTACTAAAAGAAACAGCCTCTAAATTTGAATTGAATCATGTTACAATTTTAAATGAGCATGTAAAGCCTAAAAGTAAAAACATTTGCTACCTACACTAAGAACTCAATGTTTCTAGTAGTTTTCTTTTGGGGTAGTAGGTAGGAGTGGGGAAATTCCACTCAGGCACCTAATATTTACAGGCATCTGTTTGCTCCAGTCACTAATAATGTGGCCTTTACTGGCAAGAAAACACTTGAAAAGTTGACACTCATTTCTTTACTTCTTGTACTTTACCAATCAAACCAAATCTGTGTGTATTGGATCCATCCTACTTTTGTGGCTTGCAAAAATTTTAGTTCCATATTTTAGAACTGATAGAGTGCTATGCATTAGTTGGGAAGAGCTAACTTGATATTGAGCTGTGTTTCGCATCTTCTTGACAAAAATCAGTGCCAGTTGACTTGAATGTCAAATAAAAGTATACAAAAGAGGCACTATGATAAAGTTTAATCTACTAAAATATCCCACATGTTGACATGTGGGTAGTCCCTGACTTGATGATTTTTCTTTCCCAGTTAAGGTGTGGAAAGTAGAACAGGTACTCTCAGTTTCCATCTCACACAGGAAAGAACCGTGATGCACGGAGCTGCGACCCTTCCCACCTTGAATGTGTCCATCTGCCTGTCTCCCCCATCCACACACACCACCATCTGTCCATCTGGACAGGGACAGCCAGGAGAGCCGGGTCTCCTGGGCTCCCTACCTCTCTGCTCACCCTCCAGTCTTACCCCACCTCCTACACTCACCCCCATCATCTCCCCATATCCCAGTATATTTGGCTTTATTCAAGTATATAACATTGGATTAAGAACAAGAAACTCCATACACTTCACTGTTTAAGGCCAAAAGTATGCAGTTTTGCGACATAAATTATCACAGAACCAAGATAAATTCAGAAAGCTTTAACAATAGCCATTGTCAGTAAAATCATATTACATGTACAGCCCACAGAAGCAGTGCCTCTCTCTTGCAGACATGTACTGTTCTGTCAGTAACTCTCATTTCTATGACATTAATATGAGAAGGACCAGGAAGAATTCTCAAGACTGGTAAATTTATTTATTACATCTAATGGGGTTTTTAATTTCACCTTGTGATATAAAGTTACAGGAGAAGTAATAACCAAAATTCTACCAAAGGCTGTGTAGGAAAGCTTTACTCTAGCATGTTTTTCTATAGAGACTGAAATGAATAGACTGTGCTTGAATATTGACTCAATAACAGAGCCAGACACAGCAACTCACACCTATAATCCCAGCACTTTGGAAGGCAGAAGCAAGAGGATTGCCAGAGCCTACGGGTTCGAGACCAGCCTGAGCAACATGGCAAGACCTTGTCTCTACAATAAATTAAAAAATTAGTTAGGCATGGTGGCGCAGGCCTGTAATTCCAGCTACTTGGAAGGCTGAAGCAGAAGGAGCCCAACAAGTCGTTGTGAACGTGCTACTGCACTCCAGCCTGGGTGGCAGAGTGAGACTCCAACTTTAAAAAAAGAGATTCAATTATTGTGTTACAAATTATATAACATCTAAATGTAACTAGAGATGTATGTGTATGTGTTTCTTTTTTTAATTGTGTTTAAACACAAAAACCTAGGCTTGAAAAGAAGTCTAGGAACCAGAAAGTCTCCTCCTACTGCTGCAGGAATCCTTCTTCAACAATGAAGGCGGACACAGTCATTCAGCAAGTGCATACTTTGAGACAGAGGACGCTTTGTTCTGTGGACCGCCCTTCTCTATGTTGGACAGTTCTACTAGAAGTCTCTTTCTGATGGTGAGTCAGAGTCTGCCTTTATGTAATGTCCAGCCATCGGTCAGGTGGCTGTATGGAACAAAAGGAAGGATATAGGCTTTCAAACTAGACAGGACTGGGTTTGAATCTAGGGTTTACCATGTACTAGATATGCAGCCTTGCCTCTGAGTTTCAGATTTTTTTTTTTTTTTTTTGAGCCTGTTGCCCAGGCTGGAGTGCAGTGGCCACTGCAGCCTCAACTTGCTGGGATCAGGCAATCCTTCCACCTCATCCTTCCAAATAGCTGGAACTATAAGCAAGAGCCACCACATCAGGCTAATTTTTGATTTACCATAGAGATGACGTCACACCAAGTTGCCCAGGCTGGTCTCGAACCACTGGTCTCAGGCAATCCTCTTGCCTCAGTCTTCCAAAGTGCTAGGATTACAGGCTTGAGCCACCACACCCAGCCTCAGATTCTTGATGTATAAGATTTTTTAAGGCCAGGAGAAGTGGTTCATGCATATAATCCCAGCATTTTGGGAGGCAAAGCAGGAGGATTGCTTGAGTTCGGGAGTTCAAGACCAGTCTAGGCAAGATAGTGAGACCTTGTCACTACAAAAACAAAAAATTAGTTGGGCATGGCGTGGTGGTATGTGCCTGTAGTCCCAGCTACGCAGGAGACTGAGGCAGAAGGATCACCTGAGCCTAGGAGGTCGAGGTTGCAGTGAGCCATGATCATGCCACTGCACTCCAGCCTGGGCAACAGAGTAAGACCTGATGCAAAAAAAATAAATATAAATATATATATACATATATATATCTGGTGATTTCTCCCTTTCGTTTATTGTGAGGATTACAAAGACAGTTAATGGAGTGCCTAGAATATGGCAGCACTCATTAGATGGTTGCTTATCAGTCATCCTAGCTTTGGCTCTCTGACACAGCTGACTTGTCCTGGGGACATTTTCCCTTTGCCAGGCTAAAATATATGGTTCCCTCACAGATTCCTCACATGCCATGGTTTCTATACCCTGGTGGCATCTTGGCAGTTCTCCTCCATTGGTTTCTTAAAGAAAACATTCCTCCACATATATCCTTCAGATATGATCATTTGAAAGAAAGCAGATAAAGCTGGGCTCGGTGGCTCAGCCTGTAATCCCGCGCCTTTGGGAGGCTGAGGTGAGCGGATTGCCTGAGCCCGTGGGTTCGAGACCCACCTGGGCAACTTGGCAAGACCTCATCTCTACAATAAATCAAAATGAGTCGGGCGTGGTAGCGCACTCCTGTAGTTCTAGCTATTCGGAAGGCTGAGGCTGAAGGATCGCCTGAGCCCAGCAGGTCAAGGCTGCGGCGGCCGGGAGCAGCCACTGCACTCCAGTCTGGGATACTGAGTAAGACTTCAACTCAGAAAAAAAAAAAGAAAGAAAGAAAGCAGATAACTAATAAATGTTTGTTGACAGACTACCCCTAGAACATTATGGGTAGTTGCTAGGATGAAGCACCCACAGGCGTTCACGTCCGCTCCCCCACCCAGATACCCTCGTGAGGACACGTGTCACACCTGCACATCCTGCTCCAGCTTGATCTTGATGGTGTTGTACTCTTCGCAGTCCCAGATCCTCTGCTTGTTCAGCTGCTTCTCATATTCTTCCACTTTCTTAATGCGGTTGATAAGATACTCCAGCTAAAGGCACAAGCAGACAAGGGGAAATCAGGGACCAGTCCTGTCCTACTCAGTCCTTCAGATGGCCTGACAAGCATGACACAGTGGGGAATTTGGAAGTTTAACAACTCCAGAGAAAGTTGTAGTGCCTTTCAGAAGTCCTGAAGCCCAAGGTTCTGAAATCTTAGGTCTTGGTTTGTATCGCTTAATGGGGTCCTTACTCCAGAAACTCTAAGAGGAATGCTCCATTAAGAAATTAAGCACAGACCCTGCAATCAGATGTTTATATTTCTAAAAAGACCATTGGATCTTGATTAAGTCACTTCTTTGTTCTTTATATATTTCAGAGTGATAGTCTTACACCTCTTAGAAATGTATCTTAAAACAGCTTGGGCCACAAATATTCATGGCTGGAATAGATACCCAAGAAACAAAGGAACAGGTGACAGGGCCATGGAAACAACAGCAAGCTGTCAAGGTAGTACTCACCACCACCAGAGAGACACCCCTATCTACAGAGCCACACTGACTAGCTATGAAGTACAGTAATGAATGTGTGCCACGGCAATCTTACTCAGGACACAAAAAGGCCAGCAAGTTCCATCACAGTAGAAATCGTCACAGAACTCCAGGATCACCCTTGATACCCTCCTACCCTGTCTGCCACCCTTTACCTCCTTGGCATTGTGAGTCTGCAGGGCCCACTCCCATTTCTTCTTATTACTGGTCAGTAGCTCTTGACGTTCCACCTCAAATGCTTTCTACAACAAAGAAGAAAAATGGGTCTGGTATCTGTTCTGACTTGGCAGGTCCCATCAGTACCAAATGACTTTTAGATAACTGCACAAGTATCATGTCATCAACCACACAGATGAAGCCAAATCCGAAGGCAGACTTGCCAAGTGTCTCATGACCAAATGGCTCTGGAAGGAGTTGCGTGGAAATTGGGTGTTATGAAGTCTACATTTCACACACATATAGAGAGAACATGTGCCAACAGTAACTTAGTCAATAGCAGAGGCAGGGAACTGGAAGAAGGCCAGTACCCTTGCTGGCAGTCCCAGGACACACCTTGGCATGTAATTCAACTGTGACTAGAGTTGGTGTTTTGCCATGGTTGGGGTTCTCATACAGCCCACAAGGGGTAGGTCTAGGAATGCAGAAATTAGTCTCTAGAAAGCCACAGAGAAAGGCCTTCACCCCCTCGGCTATCTTCCATCTTGGGAAGGAGTCCATCTCAATCCTGGTCTTTGACATTTCGGTCAAATTCAACACACTGATTCCTGAATCCTATTTGGCACTCCCCATCCCCATCACCCACCCCAAATGCCATACATAAACAAATAAATGTCTCACATATGCTTACAGCCACAGAGTACAGCCTCCCTCATTTATTTCCCCTTCCCCTTGCCTATCTTATTTTCTCTCAAAGCACTTATTACCACCTGCTACAAAGCACTTATTACCACCTGTATTTTCTAGCTGTCTCCTACTAGAACACAGGCATCATCAGGAACTTTACTTTGTTCAGAGCTGTATCCCCATGCTTGTGCCTGGCATATAGTAAACACTTAATGGATACTTGTTGAATGAGTGAATAAATTAGTAAATAAATTAATAAAGCCCTAGAGCAGAAACAGAAATTAGAGGACAGATATCTGGGACCCTCCTTAGATTATTAGGACAGACCCAGAAAACTGGTTTTCTCACTCCCTATCACCTCAATGTGGTGGAGCTCCTGACGAAAAGTTTTCATTACATTCTTCACTTGTTCTTCCATCCTCCCCAGAAGCAGACAGATGTCATCTGATTGTTTCTTCAGATCCTTCACATACTGATCATCCTTTGTTTTTAACTCCTAGAAGGCATGTAAAAAGTTGGTCACAAACAGACATAAGCAAGAGGTCTCAGGCATACCCTCCCCGGACCCATCTCACCAGAGTCTGTAAACACTAGCACTTAACATTGTACAACCAGAGAGAGGCTTCAGAAGAATCTGAGAAGACCTGAAAAAAGCACAGATGGATGGAACAGAGCAGGGTTGGCTCAGTGAAGACCTCTAAACAAAGGCCCAGGATCAAACCCCTTGGTTATTACTTACTACAAATGTCCTATAAGCTCTCAGAAGGCCTAGAGTGTCCCAGTTTGCCAGTTAATGTCCAGGTTTCAACATGGAAACATATCTACCACAGACTAAGTACCATTCCTTAATCAAAAGCATAAAATCTGGCCGGGCTCAGTGGCTCAACCTGTAATCCCAGCACTTTGAGAGGCTGAGATGAGTGGATTGCCTGAACCCGTGGGTTCGAGACCAGCCTGGGAAACTTGGCAAGACCTTGTCTCCACAATAAATAAATGAATAAATTAGCCAGGCATAGTAGCGCGCACCTATAGTTCTGGCAACTTGGAAGGGTGTAAGGCTCGCTGGTGCCCAGCAAGTTGATGCTGGGGTGGCCGTGACCAAGCCACTGCACTCCAACCTGGGCGAAGGAGTGAGACTCCAACTCAAAAGAAGAAAAAAAAAAGGCATAAAATCTGAAACAGCATTTACTATAAAAGTACATAAGTCATGTGCTGTATAACATTCCGGTCAACAATGAACCCCATATACACCAGTGGTCTCATGGGATTATGATACCGTATTTTTACTGTGTCTTTTCTATGTTTAGATATGTTTAGGTGCACAAATACTTACCATTGTGTTACGATTGCCTACAGTATTCAGTACAGTAATATGCTACACAGACTTGAAGCCTAAAAGCAATAGGCCGTGCCATAGTAACTTAGGCATATAGTAGGCATTACAATCTAGGTTTGTGTAAGTACACTCTATGATGTTCACACAAAAATGAAATCGCCTAATGATGCATTTCTCAGAATGTATCTTCACCATTAAGTGACTCAGGTCAGTGTTTTTTTGGGGGTTTTTTAGTTGGAGTCTCACTCCGTCGCCCAGACTGGAGTAAAGTGGCCGTTCCCAGCCCCCACAGCCTCAACCAGCTGGGCTCCAGCAATCCTTCCGCCTCAGCCTTCCAAGTAGCTGGAACTACAGGCGCGCACTACCAAGTCCGGCTAATTTTTTGATTTATTGTAGAGACGTGGTCTCGCCAAGTTGCCCAGGCGGGTCTCGAACCCACGGACTCCGGCAATCCACTCACCTCAGCCTCCCAAAGCGCTGGGATTACAGGCTGAGCCACAGAGCCCGGCTTCATGTCAGTGTTTTTATTAGGTGGCCAATAATTCTAAAATTGTTATAAAGTTTTTTCTTCTGGTTAAAAGTTTATCACTTGAAAAGATATCCAAGTTGGAAAAGAAGAATTTGAATTATCTCTATTCACAGATGACATGATCTTGATGTAAAAATACTAAGGATTCCACATCAAAAAAAATTTTTTTTTAGAACTTAAAAACAGACTCAGCAAAGTTCCAGGACACAAAATCACCATTTAGGAATCAGTTGCATTCATATACACTAATAATGACAAATCCAAAAAGAAATTAAGAAAATAATTCCATTTACTATAGCATCAAAAAGAGTAAAATACTTAGGAATAAACTTAACCAAGTAGGTAAAAGACTTGTACACTGACAACTGTAAAACATTGCTAAAATAAATCAAAGATGATACAGGCCAGGTATAGTGGCTCATGCCTGTAATCCCAACACTTTGGGAGGCTGAGGTGAGAGGATCACTTGAGGACAGGAGCTCAAGATCAGCCTGGGCAACATAGTAAGACCCTCATCTCTACAAGAATAAAAATTTAAAAGTAGCCAGATATGGTGGTGCATAACTATAGTCCCAGCTACTCTGGAGGTTGAGGTGGGAGGATCACATGAGCACAGGAGTTCAAGGCTGCAATGAGTTCTGATCATGCCACTGCACACCAGCCTGGGCAACAAAGCAAGACCCTGTCGAAAGAGAGAGAGAGAGAGAGAAGAAACAAAACAAAGAGGCTACAGCTAAATGAAAGACATGCTGAACTCAAGGATTGAATGACTCAATATTATTAAAATGTTCATACTTTCCAAAGTAATCTATTGATTCGATGCAATCCTTATCAAAATTCCAACATCATTTTTACAGAAATAGAACAAAAACATTCTAAAATTCATATGAAGCTCAAGGGACCCCAAATAGCCAAAATAATCTTGAAAAGGAATAAAGTTGAAGGCCTTGCATTCCCTGATTTCAAAACATATTACAAAGCAACAGTAATTAAGACCAATAGAATGGAATGAAAGCCCAGAAATAAACAACTGCATATGACCCAATTATTTTCAATAAGAGTTAGAATGATAAGTAAATGATATATAAAGCCCTGCAACTATGATCAAATATTTTTAACAAGACTACACAATGAGCAAAGGACAATCTTTTCAACAAATGGTATTAAGAAAACTGGATATTCACATACAAAAGAATGAAGTTAGACCCTTACCTTATACCATGCACAAAAATTAACTCAAATGGATTAAAGACCTAAAACTATTAAACTTCTAGAAGAAAACATAGGGGAAAAGCTTTAGGGCACTGGGTTTGGCAACAAAATAAAAAATAGACAGATGGGACTGCACCAAACTAAAAAGTTTTGAACATCGAAAGAAACAATCAACAGAGTAAAAAGGCAACATACAGAATAAGAAAATATGATTGAAAGTCATATATCTGGTAAGGGGTTGATATCTAGACTACGGCCGGGCCGGTGGCTCATGCTTATAATCCCAGCACTTTGGGAGGCCGAGATGAGAGGATTGTCTGAGCCCACGGGTTCGAGACCAGCCTGGGCAACTTGCTCAGACCTCATCTCTACAATAAATCAAAAAATTAGCTGGGCATGGTAGCACATGCCTGTAGTTCCAGCTACTTGGAAGGATGAGGCGGAAGGCTCACCTGAGCCCAGCAGGTCGAGGCTGTGGTGGTCGTGAGCATGCCACTGAATAGAGTGAAGCTCCAACTCAAAACAAAACAAAAATCTAGACTATATAAGGAACTTCTACAACTCAACAACAACAACAAAAAAAACCCCAATTTAAGAATGGGCAAAGGATTTAAATAGGCATTTTCCCATAGAAGATATACAAATGGCCAATAAATGCATGAAAAAGATGCTCAATGTCTCTAATCACTTGAGAAATGCAAATCAAAACCACAGTGAGATATAACCTTCTACTCATCAACATGACCACTATCAAAAGAACAGACTATAATTAGAGCTGACGAGGATGCAGAGAACTTAGAACTCTTGTGTACTATTGGTGGGGATACAAAATGGTGCTGCCATTATGGAAAACAGTAAGGCAGTCCCCCAAAAAATAAGAAATAGAATTACCATGTGATCCAGCAATCCCACTTTTAGGTATATATCAAAGGAATTCAAAGCAGCATCTCAAATAGAAATATGTGCACCCATGTTCAGACCAGCATTATTCACAATAGCCAAAAGGTGAAATCAACCACCCAAATGTCCATTCACAAAAGAGTGGATAAAGAAAATGTGGCATATACATGCAAAAAAATATTAAGCAGTCTTAAAAAAAAAGGAAAACATGTCACATGCTACAACATGAATGAAACTCAAGGACATTATGCTAAGCAAGATAAGCCAATCTCAAAAGGACCAATACAGAATGATTCCACTCATATGAAGTATCTAAAGTAGGCAAAATCATAGAAACAGAAAGTATAAAGATGGTTACCAAGGGCTGGGGGGGAGGAGGGATATAGTTTCGTTCTAGAGATCTGCTCACAACAATACGAATACTGTACACTTAACATGACTCAACTATACACTTACAAATGGTCAAGATGGAAAATGCAATGTATTTTTTACCATTATAAAAAATAATTAAAGAAAAAACAACTTTATCGCTCAAGTTGTACGAGATTCTAAGTAAAAAAAGGTCTCCGCATTTTTCCCTTCAGGAAAAGCAAACTGGTAACCCATTTACTTCCCTAGCTAGATCCTAGCAGGGTCCAGCTTCTTGCCTGCTGTAGCTCACTGATAAGCTTGTTCTTGTCTTCTATCAGTCCAGCACAGTGTAGCTGCTGCGTGTTGAGCACTTCCCACAGATCTTGGGGAATTCTCTTCTGTTTGCCTTCTTCCCACTTGGCGGTGATTTCATCAAATTTGTCCTGGCTGGTCTTAACTTCATTCTCCAGCTTCTCAACTCTGCAAATACAAACATACCAACGATACTGGCCTAGCTCTGAATGTCACCTTCCAACAGAGCAGGCAGGTTCTGTAGTCTATAACATGCAGCCCTTAGACATCCTGTGGGCCGGGTTCAGTGGTTCAGCCAGTAATCCCTGCACTTTAGAAGGCCGAGGCGAGTGGATTGTCTGAGCCCACGGGTTCGAGACCAGCCCAGGCAACTTGGCTGGACCTCATCTCTACAATGAATCAAAAATTAGCTGGACATGGTGGCCTGCATCTCTAGTTTTAGCTACTTGGAAGGCTGAGGTGGAAGGATTGCTGGAGCCCAGCAGGTTGACGCTGGGGTGTCCATTAGCATGCTACTGCACTACAGCCTGAGCGACAGAGTGAGACTCCAACTCAAAAAAAAAAAAAATCCTGTGACCCTTTCTTTCCCTTTCCCATTCCCCAGTCCACCTTCCAAGCTAGAACACATAGTACTTATTATAACTTAATTGACTTTTTCATTTCAAGAAATGAGAAACAGCTGTCCGGTCATCTTCCCAAAGCACATTTACCTTGTAGCTCTGCTGCTTAAGACATTTGATTTTTCCTCAGTGGCCACAGGATGAAGCCTAGCTGCTTTACTATTCTTTAATATGCTGCTACCTTTATACAAAACACTGAGCTGCTTGAGGGTCTAGTCATTATGATCCATTTAAATGCAAGACTAACCAGTCAACCTTCTCAACCCCCTCTTTTCTTCCACCCCCAACCCCCATGCATCCGTGTGTTCCTTACCTCTGGCGCTTTATCTCTTCCTCTTCGACTCTCCTATGGATCTCTCTGATATCTGTAGCCACCTGGATATTTGTCACCAACTCAGTGCCGCAGAGCAGAAGCTTAGCCAATTTCTGAAAACAAAGAGGCAATTTACAAGGTTAGAATGCCTTGTAAAGAATTTGTCAAGTTAGAAAGTTTGCACAATTGCCTGTAGCTCTTCTATCCATGCCAGCAGGAATCAACCTTCAGATTTCAAGAGTAGCCCCTCTTAGCAACCCTTTCTATCACAACATCTGTAATGTGATGTTATAGTTTACAATAAAAAGTCCTATGCATTTGCAATGCCTGTAGCTCTTCTATTCATGCCAGCAGGAATCAACCTTCAGATTTCAAGAGTAGCCCCACTTAGCAACCCTTTCTATCACAACATCTGTAATGTGATGTTATAGTTTACAATATAAAGTCCTATGCATTTGAGCAAAAATTTCCTATTTTCAACTCAAGATAAACAACAGAAATTTCTGAATCAAGTATTTAACTCAAAGTAAAATTTAAAATTTAAGTGTTACAGACACCAACAGATATACCCTTAACCATTTATGAGATCCAGGGAAAGAGTTTAAATAGAGGTTCATACACCATATATCTAGATATTTAAAAATTATACCATGTAAAAACTGTTAAATAAAACATATTCTATCAAACTTCCACAATACCTTCATAACAATTTAGAAGTCCAAGTTTGAATTCAGACACGCTTTGGAATTCCACTCACACCTGGGTGGCCTCCCAGCCCTCAATCCACCCCTCACTCTGTCCTACAGACATGTGGATTTCCCAGAATGCATGTCCAAGCTTCATATATACCCCTTGGCCATCCATCAGGCCCAGGAGTTGCATAACAGTGACTTCATCTGCCCTGAGGAAGACAGACCCTGGAAAGAGACCCACACAGACCTTGAAGGTGGGCTTAGAACAAACTGGGCAGGAAACTTTGGATTTCATAAGATTCAGTGATCTAAAGAGGGGACTCTGAGTGGACTTGGGGCAAGTCTCCTTCAGGAGATGTATCCAGAGAAGGGGCCTGGGCAAAACACAGACCCCCATTGTCACCACTCCTAATCAATGGGCTAGAGGGCCTATCTAATGCAATAAGGCAAGAAAAAGAAATGAAAGGTATAAAAATTGAACAGAAAGAAATAAAACTGTCACTACGTTCAGATAATATGATTTATATGTGTTTAAAAATTCCAAAAGAACCCACAAGAAACTATAATAATAAACAATTTAATTTGGCAAGGCCACTAGGTACCAGGTCAATATACAAAAACCAACTGTACTTTTATATGCCAACGAACAGTTATAACCTTAACAAAGGTTGGTAATAGAACACCGCAAATTTTACTGGGCATGTGACTGCCCAAAATAGATGCATTTCTCAGCCTCCCTTGCAGCTACAATGCAGTCTGATCAATGACACATGAACAGAAGTGATGTGTATCACTTCTGAACTGAACTCTTGAGGGAAAAGGTGTGTCCTCTGCTTCCCCCCTTCTGCCCCTTCTCCCAGGCTGGAATGTGAGGCTAAAGTGTGAGGTGACAAAAATGTCAAAACATTACTGAGCAAAATTAATGAATACCTAAATAAATGGAGGGATATTTTATACTCATAGCTTATGAACTTAATTCAACCAATCAAAATCCCAAGCAGATTTTTTGGTAGAAACTGACAGGCTGATTCTAAAATTTGTTTTGTTTTGTTTTGTCTTTTTTTTTTTTTGAGTTGGAGTCTCACTCTGTCGCCCAGACTGGAGTGCCGTGGCCGCTCCCGGCCACCGCAGCCTCGACCTGCTGGGCTCCGGCGATCCTTCCACCTCAGCCTTCCAAGTAGCCGGAATTACAGGCATGCACTACCATGCCCGGCTGATTTTTTTTTTTTTTTTTTTCATTAATCAGTATTTTTTATTATGGTTTTGTGGGGTACAGTTAAGGGTTAGGTGTACAATGACGTTTCATTCAGGCACCCTGTAGATAAGAAAAGTGTTTTCCCATCCCCCGACAGATATTTGCTACTGTTAATCCCATCCCCCTTCCCCCCCA